CTCCAGCTCTGGAGCCCCCAACGTAGGAAAGACATGGACCTGGTGGAGCGGGGCCAGAGGAGGCCCCGGAGATGCTGGGAGGGCTGGAGCCCCTCTGCTGGGAGGACAGGCTGGGAGAACTGGGGGGGTTCAGCCTGGAGAAGAGAAGGCTCCGGGGGGACCTTAGAGCCCCTTCCAGTGCCTAAAGGTGTTCCAGGAGAGCTGGGGAGGGACTTTTTACAAGGGCATGGAGTGGTAGGATGAGGGGGAATGGCTTCAAACTGGAAGAGGGCAGGTTTAGGTTAGATATGAGGAAGAAATTGTTGCCTGTGCGGGTGGTGAGCCCCTGGGGCAGGTTGCCCCGAGAAGCTGTGGCTGCCCCACCCCTGGAGGGGTTCAAGGCCAGGTTGGATGGGGCTTGGAGCAACCTGGGCTGGTGGGAGGTGTCCCTGCCCAGGGCAGGGTTGTGGCACTGGATGATCTTCAAGGTCCTTTCCAACCTAAACTGTTCTATGATTCTATGAGGCCAAGCAGCCGCAGAGTCGAGTGGTCCAGATCTTTTAACTACCCCCGGCTACAGGGGAAAGGGATGGGGGCCACAAAGAGCACCCGGCAGAGATCTAGGTCTGGTCTGCCATATTGCAGAAGGATGAGCCCCCACCAGCCTGGCTGGCAGCATCACCCTCCGGAACAAGGCAGCTAATCCGTCTCTCGCTTCACGCTAACCAGCAAAGTGCTCAGGAAGTGGGCAACTGTGAAAGGCGACACACCAGATCCAAATCCCATGGGACAGCCCTGTGAGACCACTCAGAGGATCACCAATGCAACACCAACGCCCTTCGCTTCCCCCGGCTCCCCCCATCGGCTCCCCCACCATTCTGCTGAAGCCTCAGCTTTAGAAGAAGGGAATAAGCTGCTTTTAGCCCCCGGCCTGAAGCTGCTGGGCACGGGAGAGGCTCCCAAATGGCTGTCGGGGTTAGTGGTTCCCAGAGGCTACGGGTGCCATGGCAAGCTGAGGATGGGTGACACCATCCAACCCCAACCGCCCGCTCCTTCTCGACGATATCGCCCCATGGGCTTTGCTCCCAGCGACAGCAGACTGGGCAGTCAGGCTCCATGCCCGTACGGTGTGTTCCCGAGAGCACAGAACCAGTGCGGCCAGAAAAGTGTGGCCAGGCCATTCCCCTGAGTCACGCTTGCTGCCTGCCCAAGCGTGCCCCCATTGCGGCTCCTGGCCGCCTTTCCTTCCTCTTTCCCCTCACAATGGGTTTTTCCAGCCTGTAGTAAAAAAAAAAAAAAAAAAAAAAAGCAAGACAACCCACAACCATCCAGCTGCCAGAGCTCAGCTTTTCCTTCTGGCCGAGACAAGGATAGTTTTTTCTCCCACTGCTTCGCAGCGAGCTGGCAGAACGCCCGTGAAAGAGGTACTGACTTTGCAAGTCCGTGCCTGTTGTGGCATAATAAGGTCATTGTCAAGAAGATGCCGCACCAGGAGGCTGATCTTGAGCAAAACACGGCCCCGGTTGCGAGTTGTGCAATCCCTGTGGCTGCGCGAAACAGTGGTCTCATTGTTCCCCATCGTGAGTCTTCGGCGTCTCATTGTCCATTGAAAAGCCGATTCCTACTGAGCTGGTGCAGACACCAATCGAATGCCCATCGCTGCTGGATATCGAGATGACTCGGGTTTGCTAAATTAGCTGCCACCCAAATGGCAGGAAACCCACGTTCTTTTCGCACTTCACACCACTTGGATGATCACAAGCTCTGGATTGAACAAAATTCTCCACCTCCCACCTTCTTTCTTTGCAGAAAGATGAAGCTGCAGCGATCGGAGAGGGAGGGCTCTGGCCAGGTGGAAAGGCCCCATGAGGAAGACCTGTTTAGAGCAGGAACTTAGACGCTGGTACATCTCAAACCACATCCTGCTTGCACGCTTCCGACTGACTTTCCATGGCTCCTCAGCTTACTGAGGGTAAAACCCAGGGGAAACGGCTGCCATCAGTGAGAAGCGGACCACAGCGGCGTTGCTTCGCTCTTGTTGTCGCGGTGTGATGTCAACGGGATACAAAGGCTCTTTAGAAAATGCTACCTATGAAGATGTGATACAAGCACGCGCGGCAAAGAAGGAAAAACTGGCGGGTACCATTCAGAGCGTGACGGGATGGCCACAGAAGAGGGGAAATAAAGACACACAGGAGTCTTCCTCTTGCAAACGTTGGGTGGATAGGACTGAGGTTGGCATTGGGAAAGAGGCAGCATTTAGAAGACACAGCATTTAGAAGACACAGCAGGTACCTGCAAAAGCCACTCTGCTTCTAAGGGAGATAGAGAGGGAGATACCGGTTTGACTTCACACAGTGTGTGCCCGGGAGACAGATAATACACCGGCGAGCAAGCGTGAGGCACACAGTACAAAAAAGAGAATAAAAAAGGCAATAGGCCCCTTAAAAACATATTTAATAGTTTTCAAACTTTATTTCATGGTGATTGACGAAAGACACAAGTTAGTAATGGTTATATCATGCTGCTCCTCTACTGTGCATTGCCCTTCAGAATTCATACAGCAGTTCACAATGGTCATTAATTTACCCTATAAATGAAGCCACATGGACATCTTTTTTTAAAAAAAAAAAAAAAAGCAAAAAAAAAAAAACCAACAACCAACCCAGGAAAAAAACCCCAACCAAACCTCAATGTCTTTTTTTTTTGTACATACATGTTATAAATGCTATTAAAAATAAAGCCAAAGTTAAGTGCACAGCCCCTAGGGAGCACTGCTGAATCTGACCTTGGTTCAAGATGCTTGACAACGAGGACGCAAGGTCCTGTTTTAAGGCATTTCCAAGCCCCAGCAAAAGCAGACAGAGTTTTTGTTTTTGTTTAGTTGGTGGTAGTGTTTTTTTCTTTCTTTTTTTTTTTTTTGCAGTGACCCTGGCTTCATTTCAGTGGCATTCTAGAAAATCAGCAGCTTCTTCTGCGCATGCCCCTCTCCCTCCGGAGTTGGCACGTTCAGCCCTCGTGTCGCAGCCACCGCGGTGGCACTGCCCAGCTACGACTCCTGTTGCCAAAAAAGCACAGATCGAGGGGCTCCCGCCTCCCTCCCATCCCACAGTCCCAGTTAACCCCCCCCGCCTATCTACACCTCGCGATCAAAATACAGCGGTCCATCCCTTTCACAACACAGTCACGGTACTCCCCACCAGGAACCACAATTTATATACAGTACCCACTTAAAATGTGGTTTTGACACACACACACATACACACACACCCCACACGCGCACGCACCCCAAAGGCTCCATCGCACGGAGGGCGCAGCCCCCCGTGAAATATTTAACCACTGGGTTTTCAGAGGAATGGCAATAGATTAGGCATAGACTGGGGGGAAAGGGGATAGATTTCTTTTAATTAAAAAAAAGAAAAAAAAAAAAAAAAAAGAAGAAAGCAAAAAGAAACCCGAGTGGTTTTACGCTCCGTTCTTCCCCTTTGTTGCGTCTGTGTTCGGAACTCACCCCGAGCAAAGTAACTTGACTTTTCGTGGCTCAAAATTTAGCGCCAAGAGACGACATTTTTAAAGGGTGCACTACTCTGTACAGGTACACGGCACGGCCTGCTAGAAATTTGTGGTAAAACTGCAAAATGATGGCACTCTGGCTATTCATTAACACTTGATACCTGGCAGGAGCCTTCAGATTAATTCTTTACACTCCAAAAAGCTGATTTTCCACAGAGCAATACCAACTGCCATCTCAGGGTGGGGAAGGGACACAGATATGTCGCAGAAAGGGACATAGATGCTACACAGCATCAGTAAATTCTTCCCACGGAGAAGGAAGCTCGATGGAGCAGGTCGTTTTCTTTCATAGCTGCGTTCCGTTTCGCTCTTCTCCTGCTCACAGGAGAGTCAGTGTTTTTTGGGTGCTGGTTGACAGGCGCTCCCCACCACACATCCAATCATTCAGAAACACACGTACTGGTTTTGTAACTGGCACCACAGTATTAACTTTCAAGATTTGCATGGAGGAAGAGAATACTTTAAAAAAAAAACAAAAAAACAAAAACCAACCCAAAACCGAACAACCCTCCTCCCAAACACTACTGCCTCACGCCCCATTCCCGTCTCAGCCATTGCTGCTGGGCTGGTGGCATCCAGAGGAGCTTTGATCGTGGCGTGGAAGACCCTGCATTGCACTGGGCATTGCAAAAAAACTTGAAAGCAAAAGTAAAACTCCAATTATTCTTCACGGGAGAGGTTCTACTGCCAGCTCTAGAGATTCACACGTTGGCCAGCTGCAAGCATCCTCATGGTAGACAGAGGGCAAGGCACACCCGGAGGCTGGAAAACGGACGTGGGTCGTGGAAGGACACATCCTACGGATTTGTTTGCAAGTGAAAAGGGACCCGGTCCCTGTGCCCTCGCAGCCCGTTGGGCAGCGCTGGAAGAGGGAGAGCGCTTCCAGCTCTTGAAGACGTGCTGCAAGTTCTCCCCGGCGTGCGGGAGGGCAACGCGTGGTGCACAGCGGCTCTCGGGAAGAGCAGCCAGGGCAAGCGGGTGGTTAGGACACGTCTGGATAAACACAAAGCGTGGAAATGAGGTTTCACAGCTGCTTCTGCACATGTCCAAGAGGAGGAGGAGGAGGAGAGCCACCAGAGAAATCAACATTTCCCCCACAGCACCTCTCAGTCCAGCAAAGAGTCATAAGACAACCAAAGAGCAATGCTTTTCTGCCTGCTCAGAGCAGACCTTGGTCTCTCTTCCAGTGCATGGCATCCCTGATTTTAACAGAGCATAAAGGAGAAAAGCACTTGAGATCCTTACACACATAAATTATAGTGAGAGGAAGGGGGAGAGGAGGGAGATAAGGGTGAACCACAGGGCCAGGAGAAGGCCCCAAAGCAGGGTGGCGAATCCCGCTTCTCTGACGGCCACTGCCCCGCTCAGCCAACACGGCACGAAGGGCTTCGGGGCCAGGCCCGAGGTGGGAAGGCGGCGAATCCACGAAGGCCAAACGTCTCGCCAGCACCAGCATCCTTCCCCCCCCCGGCCCCCCCCAGGCGTGAACAACAACCCGAGAACACAAGTAAGGAGGGGGAAAAAGAACCCGAAAAAAAGAAGCTTCAAGTATGAATAAGATTTACAAATGCAGGTGCGATGGGGAAGTTCTTCTGTCACTTCTTGGAGACTTGGTTCAAGGTTTGTTCTTCGTCGCTGCTGTTTGATTAGAGTCTGACTGACCTGGATAGACTGCAACCGAACGAATAACCCAAAAGAAAAGGTGTTTCCTCCCCTCCCTTTCCCCCCTCCCCCCAAAATATAAAAAGCAATAAGTTTACAAAAATAGAAAATAATTACAGCAATAGGCAGGAGGGAGGGAAGGAGAAGGAAGGGTCCCTGGGGGTCTATTTGGCTGAGCAGTGTAATATCGTGGGGTTGTTTAAAGCGTCCTCCACCAGGTGCAGTTCTTGGCGGTCGACAATCACGTCCCTTATGCAGCCGACGAAGCCGGTGCTGTAGGCTTTGGGCAGCTTGTGAGCCACGCTCAGCTTCTCCAGCCCCCCTGCAAGAGACAGCGCAGGAGGTCGGGTGGGAGGACAAAGGACACGCTGGCGCGCGGGCCAACCTCTGGCAGCGCCGCACACTCACACACACAGACGTCCACCTTGACAGCGGGGAAAAACTTCTCACCCGGCCAGGATTTACTTTCATTGAAGTGAGAGAAATGCCAGTTCCAACCAAAGGATACACTGAAGGCACTTAAAACAATAACTTGCATTCTAAAACTACCAAACTTCACGGCATCCCAGACTGGTGGGGGCTGGAAGGGCCCTCTGGAGCTCCCCCAGTGCCACCCCCCGCCAGAGCAGGGGCACCTCCAGCAGTGGCACAGGACGGCGTCCAGGCGGGTTTGGGATGGCTCCAGAGGGGGAGACTCCCCCACCTCTCTGGGCAGCCTGTGCCACTGCTCTGCCGCCCTCACAGCAGAGAAGGCCCTCCTCAGGTTGAGGTGGAACTTCCTATGGACAAGTTTGTGCCCGTTCCCTCTTGTCCCATCACTGGGCACCACTGGAAACAGACTGTTCCCATCCCCCTGGCACCTCCCTTGAAGGATTTATCAGCATTGATAAGATCCCCCCTCAGTTGTCTTTTCTCCAGACTGAACAGCCCCAAGTCCCTCAGCCTTTCCTCATCAGAAAGATGCTCCAGTCCCTTCATCGTCTCCGTAGCCCTTTGCTGGACCCTCTCCAGCAGTTCCCTGTCCCTCTTGACCCGGGGAGCCCCGAACTGGACACAGTGCTCCAGGTGGGGCCTCCCCAGGGCAGAGCAGAGGGGGAGGATGACCTCCCTCCACCTGCTGGCCACACTCTGCTTGATGCCCTCCAGAATGCTCCAGGATGCCATTGGCCTTCTTGGCCACCAGGGACATTGCTGGCTTATGGGCATCCTGAGTCCAGTCCTCATCAACTTGAAATACTTAATTTCTCAGGAGGATGGTCGCAAATTCAAACTAAATTTTATTTCAGTTACTGAAGTGTCAACTGTGGCTCATTCCAGGCCCCGAAATTATGAAAGGTTGATAGCGAACAAAACCTTTGGAAGAGGCAGTGGGGAATCCAAGCAAAAATTTCTCATGGGAAAATTCTGCTTTCCTGATAACTTCTAGGCTGATTTCAAAATGAGAAATGGTGTCTGGGGCACCGTCTTTTCAGAGGTAAGGCTGCGTTTTGGAATGTGAACTTTTTGTAAGTCAGGTTAGACCTGACACTACAGGCTTAGACTGGGAAGAACAGATGCTTCTGAAAAGTGTGAAGAGAACCTAATGCACTGTTTCTTCATTACAGATGATCAAAATCCCCAGATGAACATTTCTGGCCATTGATTTCTGTGGCCCTTGTATCTCCTTGCAATCCTGAACGCAAGGAGTGCTACAGCACCTGCCTGAGGAGAAGCCTGGTGGTATTTAAACACAATTATCCTATGCTCGTGGGTGGACTTTTTGCCAACTCGAGCTGTCAGAGGACAAATCTAGCCTCTGTCTGTGCTGACAGATCTGCCACAGGCAGCGTGAGATAGATGCAATGGGCCAAACTCCGTTCGCAGGATCAAAATACTTCTGTCAACACAAACGGAACTGACTCTGCTGCACACACGGACACGTTCTGGCGTGTCTGCTTTTTCTGTTATGCAAATAGAGCAACATTTAAAATCTGGGTATTTACGTATTTCCAGAGAGAAGTACCCTTCTCTCAGTTCAGCCATTCCACCTTTGGGTACCAGAGTTACCCAAGCGAGGCTTTGGGAGGCTCGTGAACTAATGGAGACTCCTACACATGAGGGAATTCAGCAGGTGGGAGCACTCCCAGTTTGAAGATGGAGAGGGTGCTCCATGCCATCGGCAGCAGGGGACCCAGAGCCGCAGGTCAGCTAATGGGTCTCTTCAAGGGACATGGTGACATGGAAAGGACTGGCATTTGGTAAAGCCATCCAGAGGGACCTGGACAGGCTGGAGAGGTGGGGCCGTGCAAACCTCATGAAGGTCAACAAGACCAAGTGCAAGGTCCTGCATGTGGGTCGGGGCAATCCCCAGCACAAATCCAGGCTGGGCGGGGAATGGATTGAGAGCAGCTCTGAGGAGAAGGACTTGGGGGTGTTGGTTGATGAGAAGTTCAACATGAGCTGGCAACGTGTGATAGGATGAGGGGTAACGGTTTTAAACTGAAAGAGGGGGGATTTAGATTAGGTATTAGGAAGAAATTCTTTGCTGTGCGGGTGGTGATCCCCTGGGGCAGGTTGCCCCGAGAAGCTGTGGCTGCCCCATCCCTGGAGGTGTTCAAGGCCAGGTTGGACGGGGCTTGGAGCAACCTGGGCTGGGGGGAGGTGTCCCTGCCCAGGGCAGGGGGGGGGGACTGGATGATCTTCAAGGTCTCTTCCAACCTAAACCATTCTGTGATTCTATGATGACTTTTTACGTCAAACTTGTCAAAGCCACCTGGGAGGCAAAGGTGTCCCAGTGAAACAAGTGAGAGAGCATCGATGTCCCAGCTCCAGCTCTGAGCCTCTCAGCAAGGGGCACAGAGGAGGTTCACCCTTTCCACACCAACTTACCCAACCACAGGGCCCCATCTGTATCGAGCTGTGTTGCACCAAGCGGAGAAGAGCCGGCAATGGGGGCTTCGTTGCCGACTTGAAGGGAACCTTCTCTCTGTACCCTGCTCCCGCAGGGAGGGAAGAAGAAACAGATGATGATTAACAACGTTAAAGGGAAAACCCAGAGCTGCCCTCTGCTTTACGCTAAACCCCGACCTTGAGCACCATCAGCCCTTCTCCACCTGGAGAGGTGCCGGGAGCAGAGGGCATCCCGCCGCCCTGCCAGCGGCCATGGGTTCCTCCCGCGCCCTCCAGACCCATCAGCAGCAATCCCCGGCATGCCGGGCGCGTGATCCGCTCACCACTCCCACCGCCAATAAAAATAAAAGGGACGGCCCGGGCTCAACACGAACAGAATGTCAAACCCTCAGCCAGCTAAAATAAAAGGCACGAACCTTTCGTACCTCCTCGAGCCTGCCCCTTTGACATTTCCAGGCGTGTCACAACACGCACCCCCTCCAACGCGGCACTGCCCACATGCCTCTCCTCTATTATTATCACCCAAGAAGAGGAGGGACCCTTGGGGATCACAGGGCATGGAGCCACGGCCATGACTCAGGCTCCCAACTTCACAGCTTGCCCATCCCAGTGCAATCCACCACCGCGCCCTTCTCCCCTCCTTCGCACCTGTACGCTTTGATATGAATCCACTGGTTGGTGTTGACCGGGACCGTGGATCGTAAGACGACGGGCTTGGAGCCGAGGTCGTAGGTCATTTGCACGAAGCCATCCACTATGGCGAGGGCAATGTAGTCTGATCGCTCCAGCCCTTTCCCGCTCCACAGGATCAGCCCCTGAGTGGCCTCCGTTTTGATGCTTAGTTCAAAGTGGTTCGATTGCAAGGCCTTCTCGCTACACGGGGAGAGGACAGAGCAGAGTTAAAAACATGGCTACAAAAGCAAGAGGCAGCCCGTCAGCTCCTCGGAGCGGCCTTCTCCATTCCCAGCCAACTAGCTCACCTGCTGAGGATAACCTTCAACTGACCTTCGGCATCGGGCTATGCACGGGGTCTCAGTCCCCCCCTGCTGCTCTTGAGGGGTCTCAGCCTTTGCAATAGCCCAGGCCTGCCCAGAAGGTCCAGTGCATGGCGGGGGGAGCGTATTGGAAGCTCTGAACAAGACCACAGGATCAAAGGAATGGCCCTCTGGAGGTCTCTAACCCAGTTCCCACTCAAGAGCAGGACCAGTGGCAGCGCTAGACGAGGGCAGCTGTGGCTCTGCCCAGCTGAGCTTGGGAACACCAAGAATGGAGCTTCTCCATCTTCCTGCTGGCGGGGCTGCACAGTTCTCCTGGGGATGAAATGTTTTCCCAAAATCCAGCTTGAACCTCCAAAGACACAGCCTGGGGCTACTGCCCCTTGCTTTTGCCCTCCATGGAGCACAAGGTTCAGATACATCGAGGCCTGCAAGCTGTGACACACAGGTCTCGGGTTTTCCTCCCCATACGCTGAAGGAAGAGCTCTGGTGAACAGTACCGGGCTGGCCCCGATCTGGCCAGCAGAAGGGTTTTCCCCACAGAGCTGCCTTTGATTTTGGGAGAGGTCAGAACAAAGAAGGCTCTGTCAGCCGGATCGGGAGGGCTGCAGGCAGCAGCTAAGCTGGGGTGGACACCATCTCACCATCTTGCTGGCAGGTGCTCGAGGTGCAAGCAGGGCTGAGGTGCTTGGGGACCACCGCTCCCCATGCCATCACCACACAGCCGTCAGCCTCAGGGACTTTTGTTCTACACCGCTGCCTCTGCTTGACCAAAGGCCAACGGGAACCTGAGGCTGGGGAGGCGATCAGCACCCTGCAAGTTTGATGGGGATGGAGACTGTCCACAGAGGCAGAAAGCCTTCTTTCTCCTAGACGGGGTGTCTTTTCCCAAGGGAGGAATGAAGGAAGGACAGGATTTCCACCACATCGCCATCCCCATCTTTGCTCAGTCCCTTTTGGACCTGACAAAAGGTTCTCGGCAACAGGCGAGAGTGCCGTATGGAGTCACCGTCCACTTCCCTGGGATGCTCTGAGACACACCGCTGACACATGTGCACACATAGACCGGACAACATGGGCAACACAGACAGCTTTTTATTCCCAAGGGACACTGCCTCCAAAGGGCTGGACGAGGGCTCTGCATGACGCCCGCTGTACTGTCAGGGTAACTCAGCTTCTCCCCTCGCTTGGCGCTATGTGCTGTCCAGGTCCCCAGGAGCCGGGGCCAGAGCTGGAGCTCCACAGGAGCTGCTGGAGGCATAGGGCTTCTTCCTTCGCCTTTACTCTCATCATCTATCTACTGGAAGGTGTCCCTGCCCAGGGCAGGGGGGTTGGAACGAGATGATCTTTAAGGTCCCTTCCAACCCAAACCATTCTGTGATTCTACGATCTGCAGAGCTGTATCCCTTATAAATAAAAAGCCGAGGGTACGGACACACAGGACACGCACGGAGACAGAGACATGCCGAGGCAGCAAGAGCAGAGCACGAGACACAAGAGCTGAAAGCCTGGCAGGGACTCACCTGGGCTCCGCGGGATAGTCCGGCGCTTCGGGACTTAGATGCGGGAAGAAAGGGGAGCGTGCGATAAGCGCAGGGCAGCGGAGGAGACCCTTCCCTCCCACCCCGCTCACGGACAGGGGACAGCCCTGCTCAACAGCGACGGCTCTTCACCCTACGCGATGCCACCGCTGGGAAAACCGCCCAGCACGAGCAGGAAAGCCTCAACCACCGTCCTTGGGGCCGAAGGTTCCTCAAGCCAGTGAGGCAAGTTTGCAAGTTGTGGCTTAATAACGCCAAAGAGCGAAGACAGCCCTGTGCCAGCGGTACAGGGGCTCTGCAACGCTCTCCTGGGTCAGGACTCTCAGCGTTCCCGCTGATCGCCCGTCGCTGCCCCGCTGGGATGCGTATCCCAGGACAGGACAGAGGGCGGCATTGCCGGGAGAAGGGAGCTTTCGGTCCACGGCCCTGCAGGAGGACTCTTTACATGCAGGCAGAGCTCAGGCTTGTGCTTTTGGGATGCTGGCAGGATGGGTTCCCGTCCAGGCAGACAGCTGAATCCAGGCGTAAGGCCTCTGAGTCAGCCTTGGGGCACTTGGGGCAGCGGGGCGTGCATGGAGAAGGGGAAACCCAGGACTACAGCTGTCCCGCTGGCACTGCCTTACAACCAGCGTTACGACCAGCTCTAACGAGATGTAGCACTAAAAATGTACATTAAAAAAAAAAAACCAAAAAAACCCAACAACCCCAAACGTACGGGCATGTCATGGCCAGCAGAGCCCAGAGATGCAACTGGAGTGTCAGCCCTGCCCACGGCACACCCCGGTGTCCGCCCGGAGGCAGAAAAAATGACTTTTTATGGGCAGCCCCACGGGTCCTTCAGCCCTGGCGGGGCTAGTGAGCGCCGCTGCCAAATCCCGGCAGAGGGATGTGGGGAGATGCGCTAAGCTCCCTTGCAGGATGGGGCACGCACAGCCAAAACGGGCTGGCGCAGGCGGAGAGGGGGCTGGGAATGGTGACCTCCCCTTTTGCCGAGCACTGGGAGAGGCAGGACGCAAAGGCGGCAGCTTTCGGCTCGTCTGCAGGGACGCGGCTCGTGCCCGTGCAGAGGGACAGCCGGGCACCCCGCCACGTGGCAGAGTTGTCCTGCAGGCCACCACGTGCCTCTCGTCGCTGTAGGGCACCGTCTAGCTTAGGAGGATGCTTGGCTCCTAGAGAGCCCCTTCCAAAACACCAGAGCAACCCAGAGCACCTCCCGAACTGTTGTGAACACGCAGCTGATGGGCTCTGTGGCTCCCCGGGGTGTTGACATGCACGCATGCACGCAACTCAGCCTCCCGAGCCTCTGCCTGACCCCAGCTTGCAGAAAATGAGGTGAAATGGGGATGTGACAGGCAGGTATCGCCCCAGCTCTCCCCGACACCGTGGGGAATACAGCTGCACGAACCAGGGCTTCTTTTCCACTCGCAAGACAGACAGCCAGCAGACCAAAAGCTGTCAAGCCCACTCTAAGGAAGAAGCCCTTCTCCCCATCCACCTGCCCAGGCCCTTCTTCTGCCCCTCTGGCCCCAGTGCATGTTGCCAGGGGTTGCCCAGACCACGCACCCCTGACTGGGGAACGTTCTCCTAGCACCCAGCCTGGCTATGGCGGCAACACCCCATTCGTGCTGGAAAAAAAAAAAATCAGGGCAGGATTAGCACCCCCTTATTTCCACCGCCAATGCCTTTGCTGCTGATGGAAGAGGTAATTCACGGGAACTTTCTTCCTCTATGCTCATCCACTTAAACTAATAAGGCCGAGTCGCAGCGCGCTGCTGGGACAATGTCTGAGTGCAGCAGAGCCAGGCAGCATCGCTCCCGCTGCCTCCTGTGCTCCGGTTGGTACCTGTGTCCTCCTCACCCTAAAACGGGAACGCCTGCCCGCGGAAGAGCCCTGGGAGAGCACCCGTGTTCCTCCTCCCACACCTGCCCTGCGGTCCCCTGCGGGTGGGCTGGCGGTCAGGGTGGCAATGGGAGAGGTGGTGGAGGGCGGATGGCTGCAGGGAGGAGCTGGGCAGCGGGGAGGACTGTACTTACGCGGGGATCTCATTGGTGAGGTGGCTTGAAAACAAAGAAACAAGGACATTGAGAAGAGACGGACAGACAGAGAGAGACTGACAAACGACAGCGCAACACAGACGCCCTCCCCAGGCAGGGTGTTCGGGCAGCGGGGAACCTGAGGGTGTAAGAGGCAGAAGGTCAAAGCCTTAGCCAAGACCTTGTCCCAGTGCCGCAGAGCTGGGAATTAGCTGAGGGAGGGTACCGAGCCAGGCTGCAGTGCACTGAGAATCTCCCGTAGGAGAAATACCCAACCCAGAGGCTGAAGAGGACCTCAGGCAGCAGCTGTGTACCGGGTCTGCTTGTCCTGAGAGAGAAGTTCCATCTCAACCTGAGGTGGGCCTTCTCTGCTGTGAGGGCGGCAGAGCAGTGGCACAGGCTGCCCAGAGAGGTGGGGGAGTCTCCCCCTCTGGAGCCATCCCAAACCCGCCTGGACGCCGTCCTGTGCCGCTGCTGGAGGTGCCCCTGCTCTGGCGGGGGGTGGGATGGGGGAGCTCCAGAGGTCCTGTCCAGCCCTCACCAGTCTGGGATGCTGTGAGAAGCCCCAGGGACCAGTACAGCCACAGCGACCACAGGGTCCGAACACGTACCCCCAGCCCATGGGGCGAGGGTTGAGCAGATGCTGGAGAAGGCCACCCAGGTCCTGCAGCAGTGATGGCCCGTCCCTGCTGGCAGAACCGACCCTTGCTGTACAACCAGCCAGGGAGACGAAGGAGCTGGCAGACAGGCGTGAACTAAACCGCAGGCAGAGCTAACTCTTCCCTCAGTCCGGCTCACCCAGCCCACAACCCATTCCGGAGCACGTGGGCAAAGAAAGGCACCGACCACATTAACCATCTCCATGGGGTGCACTCAGCCGGCTTCATCCCATTCCCAAAGCAGACTGTGCTATCCCAGAAGGTGGCCCACACGCTGCAGAAGGAGAGCATCCAGACCCGAAATTGGCCGGGCACTGCCGTTGTGGGGAAAGCCCTCTGCCAACAAGGCAGCCTTAGAGGTAAGGGCTGGAAGCAAGTGCTCATGGCCCCAGTTTGGCTTGCCCCTCTTTGAGCACTGCCCTTGGACTTCTTCAACCCTAGCTCTTCCTCCTGCTAACAGCCCTAACTCCTTGTTTTGACCTTGGTTCAGCTCAGCAGCCAAAGTTACCTCTTTGTCACGGCATTGTGGTACTCCATATATGTCCTACCATCAAAAGCAATGGCCTCTGCATCTCCAGCAGCCTTCTCGATGATCACTGGAGGTGGGAAAAAAAGAAGAGCTGTCAGGCAACGTAGCACGACCTGCGCGTCCTCGGAGACTAGGCAAATCCCCCGTTACTCCGAGCATTCAGAACAGGACGAAGGCACGCGCAACCCTGCTATCCCTTGGAGCGCGTCAGCGCCATGGCATTCTAAGCAAACCCCTGGGAAGGTTTTGCTGTGGCTTTAGAGCCCGTGAGTTTGGCCCATCTCTTTGTGTTTGGCCCATCTCTTTGTGTTTGGCCCATCTCTTTGTTTTGCAGCCAACTGTCATGAAACCTGCAGCCTTGTTGGCCTCCTGGCCGAAGCTGGGGAGGAACCTGGACTCGGTGACGGCCCAAGTGCTAAGCTCAGGAGATAGCACGAAAGAACCCCTGCTCTGGAGACAGCTCAGGCCCTCCAGGTCAATCTGCTACGGCACCAAACCACCTTTCCCCACCCCGGGCTGCTTCAAAACGAGCACAGCAATACAGGAGAGGGTGAGAGCGCCCTGACCGGAGGAGGTGACAGGGTTGGGTGATGTACCCGTGGGCAGCATTGCCACATGCAGTGTAACGCCCGCATTTCTGAGCGATGGCACAGCCCCGACTTCGCAGCGGCACCACGCTGCCAGCCCGCAAATGCCACAGCCTTTTTTTCACCCCCCTGGATCCATCCCAGCAGCCACAACAAGGACAAGACCTCAGGCTTAGCCCGAGCGGTGCGCTGTGCTGCTGCCACCAACTAGTCATCGAAGCAGTTTCATCGCCGCGTCCGGGCTAGTGGGCGAGGGTGCGTGTCCAGCCCTACCCTGGCGGTCTCACCTCTCTCACAGTGAGCCCCGGAGAAGCCCCGCTGGCAGGCACACTCGTAGCTCTCTAGCCGGGGGCTGCAAGTGCCTCCGTTCTGGCAAGGATTGGGTTTTCGGGTACAGGGATGGCCTCGGAAGGGGGAGATCTCAATGGCGCTGCGGATGTTCTGCTCCTTCAGCACAGGCACCCCCTTGATGGAGATCTGGCAAGAGGAAGCAGAAGAGTCATAGAATCGCTCAGGTTGGAAGGGACCTTTAAGATCATCAAGTCCAACCATTAACCTAACCTGACAAAACCACTTCTAAACCGTGTCCCACCTTCACCGCTTTCATCGCCCCACCTCTCTGCGGGGCTGGTGGGGGGACAGAGGCCAGCACCCTCGGGGGAAAGGGGGAGATGGGAATCCAGCCCCACATGTTCCAGTGACGCACCCCTGTCTCCGCTTCTGCCACTTTTCAACTGGGTGCTGCTGGGGCAGCCCGCTCCCCGGCTCATCCTCGCTCTCCTCCAGTGATGCCAGTGGAGATGGCACATGTCCTGGCCGGACACCTGCCCCAGGCTGCCCAGTACGGCCTTACCCTCTGCACAGCTCCATCGAAGCTGGTGGAGATGGCGGCTGCTCGAGCTAACTTGCTGAAATCAGGGGCTCCCCCCACATAAAACGGCTCCTTCAGGTTCAGGAAGGTGTGAGGCACCTGGGGAGGAGAGGGGAGAAGATGAGATGGAGCAGATGAGATGGAGAAGATGTCAGGCTACCCCTGAGCTGCAAGCTGGGCACTCGGTCCAGCTCCGTGGGGACTAAAGGAGGCTGTGAGAAGGGCAGCACTGCAGGCGGAGCAGGCACCCTTCCACCACCAGAAGCTGGGCTGGTGGGAAGGAAAGCAAGACCAGCCTGTCCCCAGTGCTCCCCTACTCCCTGCCTCCTTCCCCCAAGGCACAGGCTGCGTCCTGGGGCAGGGCTGGGCACCAGCGCCCGTCCCTGCGGAGGCCGGAGCAGGAGAACCCCTTGGAAAGCATGGCAGGGGCAGGCAAGGAAGGAGGTGGGGTTGGCATCCCGCTTGGGACCAGGTCTCCACCTTCTCCTCTGTTCCCTGCGCTGCTCCTGCCGGCCACCCTGCCCCAGCCCGCCCGCCCCACACACCCTGCAGCCTCCCTGCCCTGCAAATACTGCTTCAGCCTCATGTTTAAACCCAAACTCATACCAGAAGGATTCAGTTCGGGTTCAGCCGGCTGCTACAGGTCCCCCTACAGCAGATGGCCGGAGGAGGTTCTCCTGCCTCTCGTGTGGCTGTGAGTTTGGAGGAGAAAGACCCCCTCAACTGCACAGCACCGGTCCCAGAAGAGCCTTCAGCCACAGGATGCAGCGGGCACACACAGCAGGAGCGACGTCCCCTCCTGTGCACCCGGGAAGGACCCAGAGGCAGAGCAGCGAGGCAAAGATGCGGTTATATGAATCACTAACTAATGCTGTGTGGAGTTAACACGAGAAACATGACCGGATTAATTGAAATGCTTCCGAAACAAAACGTAACAACTGGCTGGAAATTAATGACGGAAGAGGAAACACGTGTCTCTAATCTACAGAGATCCTAAAGCCGCTCGGTCAGACGGGAAGGGGAGTGGGTGAAACACTGAGATCTGAATGGAAAACCAAAAAAAAAAAAAAAAAAGAACAACGTGCCGATGGCAGATGAGATGGAGGTGCCGTGGGTCATACTTATCTTTACCTTACGGGATTTCTGGGATCCAGACAGCAGGGGAGGGAAAAATACAAATGAAAATCATAGGGAGAGAGAGAGAGAGAGAGAAAGAGAGAGAAAAGGGAGATCAGTGGGTAACATCACAACATGCAGGGCTGCAAGAGCACCGCTGCAAGCAGTGCCCGGGGTAGCCGGGGAAGGGGAAAGGGAAGGGGAAGGGGAAAAGGAAGGGGAAAGGGAAGGGGAGCTGCAGGAGGGGCCGCTGCCAACCAGGGGAAATCTTCGCTTGGAGAGAAGCTTGGAAAGATGAGAGTGCGGGGAGGAAGAAATGCCTTCTTCGGCAGGAATGCTGCGTAACTTTGCTGTGGCACTATGCGGAACTTAAGGATGAGTTCAGCAGCAGTTTGGGGCTTTTCCTGCATCATCAGCTTCCCCGCTGGGAAGGCGGATGGAAGGCAGGACGGTGGCCGTGCCACGAAACCCCGGGGAACCGCTGTTTGTGCGGAGACAGAAGCGCAGGGGGGACAGGACACGGGGGAAGTCAGAGAGGTAAGCTGCCAGCTTGGAAACAGAGGAGAGAAGGCACTAATGGATTCAGCAGCAACAGCAAAATGGGGCTTCTACTACTCCGTGACCTCCTCCCGGCCGAGCTCACAGCGCAGCCAGCACTGGGGAGGGCTCTCGAGCCCGGCATCGAGGGTCGGGGTGAAACCCCCCCATGAGCCCAACTTCCTGAGCCACTTCCCTCCATGAGCCAGACAGGACCCGGAGGAGAAGAAACAAAAGGGGGGGGGGGGGGGCCCGCATGTGTGGGCTCAAACCCCCCCGAATCCAAGCCCCCAAAAATCAGGGCACGCGTGTGGCTGGCAAAGGGGCTGCAGCTCTGCATGGTGGGGGAAGAGGAGGGAGGAAGAGCTGGAAGAGGGCTGCGTTGAGGACCTACAGCACCAGGGCCAGCCTGCCGAGCAGCTGAGAGGGGCAGGTAAGTTCTGCCCTGTAGCATCCTTTCCTCCCCCCCCTCCAGGTCTTGCCCACTCCTCCTCCACCCTGTGGCTTGTGCACCACAGGGATTAAAAGCCCACGAGCGCGGGAACTTCTCAGCACATTTCACAGGTGAGAGGAGCAGAGCTGGAAGCCCAGAGAGTTCTCCCTGGTCCATCAACTTACCGGTGACTCTCCCATCACCCTCTCGCCGTTGTTGATCCTCATTACCCCTTTGCGCCCATTCCTCTCCAACAGGACACTTATCCAGGTGTTGAGCGGAACTGGCTCTTTGCTCCTGGTGGTGAGAAAGGAGGAGAAGACACATGGGGGAGAGCTCTGCTGTCACCACCTGCAAACACAGCACTGGAAACCTCCCCTGACCAGTTTGGGCTGCCCAGGCCACCGCAGCTTGACCAGCTTGGGCTGCCCCAGCTCACAGCCACGCAGACAGCCCGGCATTACCCTGGGGAAGAGGCACAAGCCGGAGGCCCTTCCCCACACAGGGAGAGGCAACCAAGAGCCATTTCTGCAAACAGCCGAGGCCAGTATGAAGCCTGCTCATCCTCACTTCTTCATGGTTTGCTGGGGAGGGGAGCTCAAAGCCACCACTGGACACTGAAAGCCACCACTGTCCCTTCTCTTGCCTCTGTTGCCACCACCACCCTGACAAGCAGGTCCCCAACCCTACCTGAGCACGGCCGCCCCTTTGCCCAGGTCATATCTGTACTCCAGGTAGCCATCGTGTAAGGCCAGAGAGACAAAGTCCCCTTTGCCATCTGTCTTCTGCCCATTGTAGAAGATCATGCCGCTGGGGTTCTTGGCCAGGAACACAACTTCCATGGACATTTTGTCCCTGAGGAGAAAAGGATTATGGATACCCTCCCCATGTGCTCTCTTCCTCCATCCCCGTGTGCCAAGCCCTTGGAAGACCTCTGCCTGACTGGGACTACAGGTACAGAATCACAGAATGGTGTGGGTTGGAAGGGACCTTGAAGATCATCCAGTTCCACCCTCCTGCCCTGGGCAGGGACACCTCCCACCAGCCCAGGTTACTCCAAGCCCCATCCAACCTGGCCTTGGACACCTCCAGGGATGAGGCACATAGATGGGTATGGCAGAGATGCCACCCCTGTCAGGCACCCTTGCCAGCTAGGAGATACATCTGCCATGGTCAGGATGCCACTCTGTGGTACCTGTTTACCCAACCCATTGCAACGCCAAACCCCTGGGGAGCGTTGCCAGCTCAGTCTGGCTACGGGGATTCTGGTGATGCCAGTCCCTCTGGACAAAACCTCCAAAACCTGTCGAAAGGGAGGACCTCTAAGGAGAGCCCGAGCTCCCTCCCCAAATCAGACACCCAGGGGACGCGCTCCCCTGCCCCTCTCCCGTTCCTGGGCACTTACTGCAGGTCAGGAACGAAGGTCTGCAGCCCATTCAGCTCCAGGTAGGAGAAGCCATTGAACTCCGGGAGGAAGGGCATGGTGTGGTCCTGCTCTGTCACTGGGCACAAACGAGGGAATGGTGAGGAAGAGGAGGCAGAGCAGCTTCAGCCAGCGCCCCAGAGCCACAGCAGGAGAGGCCTCCTGGCCACCCAGGCTGGGGAAATCAGCACCTTCAGTTCCACCCCCTTCCCCAGACCCGCTCCTCTGCCGGCTCCCGTCCCACCTAGCTCGCAGAAGTCTCCTTCCCGGCCCATGGGACAGGCGCACAAGGCACCTCCCTCTGGCAGCACCAGGCAGGTGGCAGAGACGTGGCAGGGCGTAGGGTCACAGGGATTCCTCTCGTCGGCACACGTTGGACCTGCAGCAGAAGAGGCAGCCTGTCACATCAGCATCTCAAACCAACAGCCACCAGGCACGATTTGGCCAGAGATAAACATTTCTGATGTCTCCTGATGGCCCTGTCAGCCTTTTTCTCCTGTCTCAGGTTGGGTTCTCATGACCAAGAAGCCCCCTGGGGTGGACCCTTGCAAGGACTACGCTTTGCGCTACCCCTAAAACGCAAGGGGAAGGTTTTTTGTGCGTGAAAACAGATGCCGGCTCTTGTCTCATGTGCGTATGAATAGGTCTACATCCTAAATTTATGGTCTTCACTGGATGCGGCTTCATCCTACGCTTCTCCCTCTAAACCACCGCCGGCACTCCACACCACGTCCCTCCCCGTACCGTCGCTCACAGCGTGAGCCCCAGAGGCTCTGGGATCCCTCAGGGCAACCAGCGGGACCAGGACCCCCAGCAACGCGCTGTCTGCAGCCCCCTCCCCGTACCGGTGTAGGTGTAGAGACACTCGCAGTGGAACATCTCTGCCTCCTTGACATGGCAGATGCCACCATGGTGGCAGGGGTTGGGGTGACAGGGGTCGTTGCCGCACTCGCCCACCCCGCTGCCATACAGCACATCACTGCCTTTCTCCCGCAGGTCGTACATCTGGTTGTTCACGTCCAGGAGGCGGATGCAGCCCTTCAGGCCGGTTGTAGCCGCAGTACGTTCTGCCACCCTGAGGGGACAAGACGACACAGTGGGTCGATGGGTTGAGTCCCTCTAAGCATCTGGGTCAGGCTGTGCTCCTCAGGAGGGTGTTAAGAGGCCCAGAGAAGTCCCTCTTCATAATCATACACACACGCACAATGGTTTAGGTTGGAAGGGACCTTAAAGATCATCTCGTTCCAACCCCCCTGCCCTGGGCAGGGACACCCCCCACCAGCCCAGGTTGCTCCAAGCCCCGTCCAACCTGGCCTTGAACACCTCCAGGGATGGGGCAGCCACAGCTTCTCGGGGCAACCTGCCCCAGGGGCCCACCACCCTCCAATGCCCCTCCAGCCTGGAGCCTGCTTGCAGGCAGAGGGCTGCGGCCACCACGGATGCTCTGCCTACAGCAGCAGATGCTGTGACACCCGGCGCAGCGGTCCGGCGCCCTCACTCACGCAGCCATTTGGTCCTCCGGCGCTCCCCCGATGAAGAGGTCTGTGTCGAGGTTGAGCCCATCGGTGCCCGTGGGGCTCTCCCCGCTGACGTGGGGCTCCCCGTCGACAGACAGCATGCCGCTGCGGCGGTTGCGGTTCACCACTAACTGGTGCCACTTGCCAGGTTCAACACGGACTTTGCTGGTGATGATGCCCGTGCCAGAGCCGGTGTTAAACCTGGAGCAGAAGAAGGGGAGGTCGCTGTGCCACCCTGCAGAAAGGTGACAACTCTGCCATGGCAGAGGGGCTGCTACGACCCAGGGAGAAGCTGGGAGCCACTCGGGAGCCGTCCTCCCTCCCCACCTTTGGACCAGCCTGTACCCACAGCACACAGCCATCCCCCTTCCAAGCTGAGCATCAGGACCGACTGCCTGAGAACTCATCCGGACTTTGCAGAGGTCTGCCCTCTACCTCACCTCATTCCGTATCTGCACCTTTGGCACTGGAAAAATCATTTCAGGCTCAGATTTCTGGGGTCTTTCTCCCTTTCTTTTATCCCCTGCATTTTTTATTCCAGTACAAAAACAGTGCGAGAAAAAGACCTCTCACTTGCCCAAAAAAACCCCCAAAACTCAACCTCCCACACCTTTTTCAAAATTCAAACTGAAATAAATCAATTAACTTTGTTGAAAAGTGCCACAGGGAATGAATCCCTTTAGTATTCCTATTACTTTGGAAAAAATGGTCCTCCTCCTCCTCCTCTTCTTCATTTGACACTACTCTTTCTTAGCCTGCGAGTTCGAGCCCAGCATCCTCCCAGCATCCTCCCGGTGTTCTGCAAGAACCATTCTGGCAAGAGGAGCTGCTCCGTTTCCTCCACACCACACAGGGCTGACCGGGCACCCACCTGAGCTCCATGAAGCCGCCAACCAGCGCCAGGGAAATGAAGTCCTTGCCTCGGTTCTGCCCGTTGTAGAGCAGCAGCCCGCTGAGCTCCACAGTCCTGAACTCCATGGCGATGCGCACGGTGTGGTACGCCTTCATCATCTTGAAGGCCAGGTAGGACTTGCCGCCAAAGCTGGGGATGAAGTACCTGATAGCTGCAAGAGCCGGGGAGGGTAGAGAAAGGAAGAGGGGATGAAGCAGAGGAGGGAACAGGAGGACAGAGAGCAGATAAAGGCCTGACATGAGCCTGTGAACACTTTCCTGCCTGTACGAGCAAAGAGAGCTCTTGAAATGGTAGAAAGCAGCTCACTCTCTCCTCTGGGCCATGCTCCTGTGCAATTTTCCCCCGTCACCGCCTCCCAGATGCTCGTACTGTTAGAAACCGACTCCTCTCCTGATGGCATGGCCCCCAAAGATTGCTCCCAGGCTTTAGAGACCTGTGGTACTGCTCCCCCAGAAGTTAGCTTCAGTGGTGTCCCACTCGGCTCCTCCCGGGTAAGGACCAGCGCTGTGGGTCCTTTCCGTGCTCGGCTATCACATCCCCTGTGCCCTCAGCTGAGCTCGGCTGCACACACGGTTCCTCGTAACTCAGCTTCCTTGCTCCTTCGATAATTTTTATCTGTCCTCCCAGAATCCCACATGAGGGATTTACACTCCTCACGCCGGGCTTTTATTTATTGCAGCTGAGATTTTCCAAGGGATCTGGAATGCCAAGCCCTATTAAAAATAACAGGGTTGGACACCCACAACCGGTAGCAGCTTCGAGCGCTCCAGCTTACAGCTTTAAGGACGAAGCTTTTCAGGAATAAGCACTCACAACCACCCAGAGCCCCCCCCGGCGTGACACCGAATCGCCAGCGGGAGCTGACAGTAAGTAACGGCGGCTCTGATTAAGCGCGCTGCCCGTCCGCAGCTTTTTGCTGAGCCGGGGAATGCAGCCTGAATTACCAGCACACGTCTCCTGGTGTCTGAGAGGACTTTCAGTACCTGTCCCTCTGTCAGACTCTACCTAGCAGTCACTAGCTGCAGGAGCTACGAGCGACAACGCCGCGAGCCGAGATAAAAAAAAAGCAGAAGCTCGCAGTCCCCGTGCTTTGGGGACGGGTAGATCAGAAGCAGAGCCAGGAAGAAATTGCTCCTAGCACCTTCTTCCCCTCACAGCCTTGCCGTGCTTGCCTCTTACAATACACAGTGCGCGTACAACCTGTTCTTCGCAGAGCGAAGAAAGGTGGTTAAATTGACCCCTGCAGCGCCTCCTGCCCGGTGCTGGTGCGGTGCCCGCGCTGGTTATGGGGCTGCATCCGCACGTGCCCCCGCGGGCTCTCCATCGCCACGCGGTCAACGCGGTACGGACAGAGGCAGGTCGCAGACACGTACGTTTCTCGCAGACGGCTCCTCCTTTGCCCGCCGGGCAGCTGCAGGTGAACTCCTTCCCGTCGTCCTCGCAAGTGCCGCCGTGCAGGCAGGGGTGAGAGTCGCAGGGCCGCGAGGGTTTCTTGGTGGCGGGGGGCTGGCGCGTGGGCTTGCGGCGGGTGGTGGCAGGGAAGGTGGAGGTGGGTCTCTTGGTGCTGGCGGCTCCCGCCGTCTTGGTG